ATATATATATGAAATATTGCCTATTAAGTGTATTTATGTTGTATCTATTAATGTATTTAGTAATTTCTCCAAGGTGACACAGCTAGTCAAGGACAGGTTGGAGAGGCAAATCCAGATCTGTCTCTTGGCAAATAGCAAGAGTTTAATTATTATGCTTTCTCTGCTGAACTAGGTGAGAAAGGGTTTGTTGACTGTATATTATAGGTTTGCTATAACACGTGCTACAAATACATTAACATGTATAGGTTTCCTCTCTCCTATCCTGTCTTACCTGCTTAGTAATATTTTCTTCTTGTCTTTGTTCTTTTATTTATTAACTTACTGCTTCTATTTAATAGTCCCTTTTAAGGTCTAGGAAGACATAAACAAATAGATGAAATAAACTAGCTAACATATAGATATTAAAATTCAAATATTTAACTAAAAATTGTACTTACTGTCAAATACAAACACAATTGTGAAGTAAAATGCCTTGGGTACATAGTACTTAGTATATTCCTACATTGCAGCAGTGAGTGACGATAGGAAACAGAGCATTCAGCACACCTAAAATGGTATTACCAATAAGTTTTATTAGCACAAAAGAAATGGTTCCTTTAGAAATTCTGTGGGCATTAGGTAGAACGATCTCTATATAGGCTCCTCAGTCAGCAAAAGTGATTAAGACCTTTGCTACACATCTTATTCATGAGCTTCCCCGAGAGGACAGTGCCCACTCATAATGATTAGTTCATGGGTCAGCCTGAATCATAAGAAAAAATGCACCTGTCTGAATCACCAATTCCACTTCCTGTAGCACCTGGTTTTCCTTGGACAGATGCCATCCACAAATGTCTCAGCCAAAGCCTCTTTTCGCTCATGAAATCTGATAAGGTCACAAACAGAGGGAGTGTGGTACTGAGAGTCACTAGAGCGTTGGTGTGCAAGAGTCGGGAAATCCAGCACTATCTAAAACCAACACAGGTAGATCCACACAGTTTTATGATAGATGGCATCATATAGTTCCACATCATTTAGACAAAACCATTTTATAGGGGCTTTGGAAAGCAATTCAGGAAACAAGTAACATATGACCTAGTGGACACTGGGGTTATTACATTTCAAAACCACTGACGTACAAAGTGTCTGATAAATGTGGCTATTGAACTTGAGTCATCAGTCTCCTCATCATTCTTGCATGGGAATTGTCCCACTCACCAGACAGCCCGGAAGGTTCTCAGAGACTCCTTCCCAAGGTTGAGCTCTGTCAACTTGCTTCCTCCCTCTAGATTTGTGAGGGAGCCCTCATCTATGTGAGAAGTGAATAGTTATTGAATGACTATCTACTAAAAATCATATTTTTGTTTCAGTTTGAGGAAGACAAGGAAAGGAAGGGGGAATAGACAGACTCATAATTGTTTGCATTTACCATAATGAAAATCCTTGAATGTGAAACCTGTAGAATTCAGTGCGCCATTGGGTGAGCCATCCTAAACCAGCTCACAAGGACTGATCTATAAGTCATTTACAGTGAGAAGCATAGTCATTAGGAAGGTTGGAATGACTGAGTTGACAGTTCAATATACTTTCTCCCCTCACAGAGCCATGAGGAAAGGAAGTGATCTAACCACTGCTTCTTGAGGAACATGGGTGGAATGACAACAGGTGGACAGAGCTGATCTTTAATGGTAAGAAACACTCAGCCAATGGAAGAGGTCTTGCTAAGTCTCACCTGGTCATCTTGGCTGCTGTGACTTGGTTTTTCTTGTTTTGGTTTTGTTTTTGTTTTTGGTGGTTTTGTTTTTTTGTTTTGTTTTGTACCAGGGATCGAACTCAGGACCTTGCACTTGTGAGGCAGGCACTTGTGAGGCAGTGGCAGAACCACTGAGCTACATCCCTGGCTTGACCTGGCCTTTTCTAAGCCTCCAGTATGGCTGAGCACTGTTATAAAGATGCTCTCTCCAGCACAGGAAAGGAAACAAATATTTGTCATTCATATGCTGAGTTATAAAGTTATAATTGCTTATCTGGGCACTATGACACACACCTGTAATTCTAACACTTGAGAGGCTGAGGCAGGAGGATTACTGCAAGTTTGAGGCCAGCCTGGACCACATAATGAATTCAAATGAAAAAAACAAGTGTCTGTTGTTTAGAAAAAAAAAAGTGTCATGTTGGTTGTTCACAAACTTTAGACTCACCAAGTATAGATGGCTAATCATAGCCCATGTATAAGTCTTTTCCAATTTTAAAATAAAAGGAAGTTAAATTTTAAAAAATGAATATCTTATTTTCAAAACCTTGGGTGATAGCTCACAATCATCCCCATGTTCTGTCATTAGCTTTTAATTTCAACTTAAAATCCACAAGCAAAAAACAACCAAAAAGTAATTGACTATTTCACGTAATATATTTTAATTCATTATGCCAGGAATTATTTTTAGATCAATACACACAAGTGTGTGTGCACACACATCACAAATTCCCACACAAACGGAAATTGATGAGTATGTCTTTTGCTATTCATTGAAGTTGACTTTATCAATAAGGCTTTGAAAAAAAAAATGCCTGGCCAGAACCTTCCAAGCAGACATTTCCAAAATCTTCAGGCAAGAGCTATAACTGCACTGGTAAATGGGCCATGCATGATTGTGCTGTCTGTTCCTTTTCCTGTTTTGTGGACAAATTCTTATTTATGCAATTACGGCATTAAAGCACTAGATGAGTCCCAAGAAATTCTAGTTAAGCCTTCTGCTTCAACCCAACACCACATCAGATTACTCGGGGCTTACCTCTTCAATTCTTAAAGATTTCCTGGACCAAAGACCACAGTTTCCCTCCCTGGTAAGTTCTAGAGTTTAATCAAGAAGCTCTTTCTTGTGTGTAAATATAAGCTTTCTTGTGGCAACTTAAGCCTGTTTCTATTTCTGATCTCTATGGAAATAGAGAACAAATACTTAGTTCTTTAATAAATAACATTCCATAGACTTGAAAATACTTAAGTTATCCCTAACTGCTTTTTGTTCCAAATTAAGTTCCCCACAATCCTTTAATGTTTTTTCAGCTATTCTATTTCCCAACATTTTAATTACATTTATTTTTTTCCTGGGTGCTTAACAAATTTCTTAAATCCCATGTAAACTATAGAAAGATGCAACCATTCTTAAAATGATACTATAATAATGTCCAATCATGGCTCCAAGTATTTTATCCCATCTCCTATATCATTAAATTATGTCTATATCTTGTAATATGTTCATATTAGAAGGGAAAAGAAGAAATATTCTTCAGTGCACCTCCCTACTTCTATTCAAATTTAGTTTGCAATGGCTGATGATCTGAACTTATCTTCAATATTATTCCTGTTTAGGCTATTTGCTTTTCTCCTGTAGGAATCGGGTGTCTCACAAAGTCTTTTCTTTATACTCTCTCTGGATAGGAAAGTCTCCTGTGAGCAGCTTCAACACAAGGAAAGGTCGTCACTACTACCACATGCCTGTGTACTGGGAAATATGTGACTTTTAGTAATCCTTTTGAAACAGAACTTTGAAATGAGATGTTGGTGAGTAATAGCAGGAGGTACAAGGGAAGGGCCTTCAAAATGACAAGCAAAGTAAAAGGTGTTTTATGGTATTCATATTATGGAGTCATTATTGCTATTTTTAAGGAAAACTTATAGAAATAATTGGAATAAAATAAGGGATTGGAGAGGCAATGATTAGGAATCCAAAGTATGAATTAAAATGAGGAAAGGCTAAATGTTTAATTCAAATAGCAAATCACCATTCTTCTAAAGAAGAAGTCAGACATATGTCCTGAGATCCTTTAGATAGGATTTCACTATTTAGTCACAAATTATGAAGCTGAAAAGTTTAGTGCTTAGGAGGAGTACAGGCACTGGAGTCAGTCCATGTTCTACTCCTGTCTCTGCCACGTCAAGAGGTCTGTGATATACTTTTGTTAGCTTCAGCTTCCTTATCTCTCTTTTTTTTTAAAAAAAATCATATAATGTGCTTATTAGACACCAAATATTTTGGTAAATTCATTACAAAATTTATCAAACATTTGCAACAACCCAATGGGGTAGAAGTGAATTAAAAACTCTGGTTACAAGTAAGGAAATAAAGACTCAGGGATATCAAGCCCATTGTCCAAGGTCATATGCCTGGAAAATGAAAAGATTCAGGCTCTGAGCTCAAGGAGCCTAGATTCAGTCTCTGCTTTTAACCACCACTACTGTGGATGTCATAGGGTATCGACCAAAACAGCTTCCAACTGTGTGGAAAACAATAAATATTCAATAAGTAGGAGGGGTTGTGGGCTTGCATTTGTGTACAATGGCAGCGATAGTATTTCTGATCCTAATGTTATTCCCAACACGAACAGATTGGTGTGTGAGCTCCTTGTGTCAGGTTTCCAGGGGTGTGGTAGGAAGTGACATTGCTGATCAGTAGGTGGAGCTCTTTCCTCTGCTTATCTACTGTGTTTACCCTGACACACACCCGCCATACTATGAAGTAGTTGGATGTTAGATGTGTCAAATATTAAACTGAAACTCCAACAGCTCCATCATAAAACTTTATGACTTTATACATAAAGCTTTATATGTAAGAAGTCTCTGATAACATTGAGAGTGTCCGTATTTTATCATTCTGTAGACAAAAGAACCTATATAGGCTTATAATGTTCATTTTGTACCACCACTCAGCTGAATAAAGTGTTATGTGAAGATTTCTTAATAACATAAAATATGTTATACTATGTATATAAGCGCTATTATATAGTCCTAGTACTTTATACTTAATTCCTTCAAATTATGTTCACATACATTTACAGCTCTGAGCAAGGCAAATCTACAATGATCAAGCCATCTAGCAGATTAGAACAGTGAGGCTGGAGACAGGTGAACTCGGATGAGTAGGGAAAATGTATTATTGGCATATAGGATTTTAGATCTTTCTCTAATGCTTTCTCCACTGTAAAATGCTGGCTATCACTGAGATTCTGTTAGTGACCATTCCCACCCACCCCACTGTTTTCCTCTGTACTTTTCTGGAATTTCTCCCATGGCCATATAAGAGGCAGCGATAAGAACAGTGGATTTGAATTGTGCCTCTGCGACTAAAGATGTGAGTGAGCTTCAACAAATCATTTACTCTGTGCTTTGATAGTGTGTACCGGGGATGCAGATTGGATCTGCTTATAGGATTGTTGAAGGGAAAGTGGGAAGGGTAGGCGAAAGGAAACCAGGGACAAGAAAAAATGTGAGAAAAGGAAAAAATGGAAACAAAGTCTTTGTAAATAGGGGAGGGTGGAGGGGATGAAGGGAGGGCAGGGACAAGGGGAAAAAATGAGAACTAAGACCTGTCATGAAAAGGTACAAAATCCCAATGATGAATGTAACTGTACTGTATACTTTAAAAGTACCAATAAATTCAATCAGATTTAAAAAAAAAAAAAAAGATTGTTGAGGGGAGTAAATGATTTGACCCAGTAAGTATTTAAAGCTATCCCTGACCCTTAGAGTGTAGGCAACAATTGTGAAGCATTTTACCTACTTTTCCTCCCATTCTTTCTCTCTTCATCCCACAAATATTTTTGGAGGGTTTATGTCAAACCTGGAAGCCACAGAGGGAGGCACTAGAAGGATAAGGCAAAGATTTAAAGTTCGGTTTTCAATTACGCTACTGGAAATAGAAAAGTTGCAGCTACAGCCGTCAAAGGAGGTCCAGGGGAGAGAAGAGGAAGAGCGGTGAGCAGACGATCACTGCTAACAATGGACTTGTGCTTTGTTTCCCCAGTAGAAGTAGTCATTCACCCATTCATGTATTCATTCAGCAAATGTTAGTAAGCTTAGACTCTCCTTATTGCACCTTGCTAAACACAGAGGAAATTAAAAACAATGGTGAGTCAGATATGGATTCCACCCTCTGACCACCAAAACCTAATTCAGAAAACAATAAATGTAATAAATAAAGTTAGAAATGGAAAATATACATCATAAGAAAGGGGCATATTTCTTGTATAGTACTTTCATCCAGTTAAATAAGTACAACATTTATTGCACAAGGCTGTAGTTGTGCAACAGTCTCATTTGAAAAAAATTTATCAGTATAGAAGATTATCAATAAAGGTAAACTGGTGAGTTGAATGAGATATTTCTTTTACCTTTTATCTTTGCAATGTTAAAAATAAAATATTTTAACAAGAGAAACCTTTCTGAAGAAAAAATGATCAATTATCTCCCTTTTTTTTGCTTTGAAATTCAAATAATCTTTGTTCAGGATGGAGAGTTCAGCAAAGAGAAAATGGAAGGGGTAGATAGCAGAAAGAGGTCTCATCCTTGTTCTTACTTGACTGAATAATCAGTTTAACTTCCTAACAGCCACTTTTTTGTTCATAAAATAGGGATTATAATAACTGTATTGCCTCAATTTCAAGATGCTGAGACACAATGAAATAGTAAATAGGAAAGTTCTATAAAACAAATTCTACTAAAAATGGATGGTATATAAACCAAAGCTATTGATAGTGCAGAAAAATGGCCTAGGACTTTATTATCAGTAAACAGAGGTCACTACCCTGTGTAAGCACAGAGTTCACGTTAGACCCTAGTGCTGACCACAAGGCCTTTGCATCTGATTTCTGGATCTCTTTAGCACCTGGGACCATTCATTTCTTTTTCAACTACAGAACACAATATATAGAAAACTAGATGATTCTGAATACTCATAATTTTAAAAGGATAACATCAACAACCTGAAAACTAACCTTGGTTTAACCCTTGTTCTCTTTTATCACTTGAATTATGATTTTTAGGCAGCCTCCTACAGGGCAGGCACATGGTACAGACTCCTGTTTGTGGAACTGACTTGAATTCAAATTCCTAGGGCAAGAACTTAGACCTAAACTTTCATTTACTATGTAGTGTGATTGCTAAAGTTTTAGTAATTCATGTAATATCATTATTCTCTCAGTAACAAATGAAGCTGATAATTAAAAAGATACGAGTGTTCACTTCTAGTCCTGTTGAGTACCTTGCTATGTCCAGATCATAAAAGATGTAAGAGCACAAAGTGTAATGGCCAATGACTAAAATGTTGCCTCTGGGTTCACCTAATAATCAGCTATAAAAAGTTAAAGAAGAGTGCCATAATCTCAACTTTTTCATTTCAACTTTTTTTAAAAGGCTAATTAACACAGAGACCTGGAACACTTTTCATAGATCCTTTGTGACTTTATATCAAAATTAAGATCCTAGATAAGGAAATTAAGGTGAGAGCCTGAAAGAGGAATAGTTTACAGAAATAAGCATTTGTACTTAGGGAATACGGGGATAAAATAATGTATGGAAGCAACTTCTTGAAGAATTTAAAATGTTTTCTGTGTTGAGCTAAATATCATCACTAACTCTCAACTTCCCTTCAAAAATAAGCTAAAAGTTCTGGTACAACAAAACACAATGAATGTAAAGATGCTGACTTTTTTAATGTTTTGCTTAAAAGATCCAAACTGTCATTAATTGATCCCTTCAGTTATCATGAGGTATTAACAGGAAATTGAATGCAGGGCGGGGACGTGTAGACCTGTGAGCTGATTGTCTTGGCCCCGGTGCCAGTTTAGGGATTTAAAGGAAAAGAGAAACCTGTTTCTTCACCTTATCTTATTAATATTCAACTCACAGAACGAATTCCACAGCACAATCTTTCAAAGACCCCAGTATGCACAGAGAGATAAACAGGGTAATGGGGAGCTGTACGGTTGATTTCCTATCCAAATAGTGGCAGGGAATCATTTTCATATGGTGAGCTTATGTGTGTCAAGGGTACAAGATATAAAGGAAGCAGCGTAAGTATTAGCAACAGCAGGTGAGGCTAGTGGGAAGCATTTTTAGAATTAAAGCCCAGTGCAACCTAGGTCTACTCTGTCTGCTGTTAAGGTTGAGGACCGAGCAGGAGTACTTGGTAATTAAGATTCAAGAAAAGTCTTTAACCAGCTTTCTCCCCACCTCCTGCTCTATCCCTATAATAGAAAGGATCTCTTTTACTAGTTCACTGCTAACCAAATAACCATCTGTGTGAATTACCACCTTTGGTTGAAAACACCATACAAACAGAAGGACCTGATGCACTTCAAGATTTATTTGATAGGGATGCTTTTATTTAAAAATTTTTAAAAGTAGGCTAAATGATCAAAAGTGTACATTTGTATTCTAACTTCTTCTACAGGAAGGAAAGATATATAAAATAAGGGAAGAACTATCTTTTTTTAAAATTGAGTTTATTGGTACATTTTAGGTACACAGTACAGTCACATTCATTACTGGGATCTTGTACCTTTACATGACAGGTCTTGGTTCTCATTTTTTCCCCTTGTCCCTGCCCTCCCTTTACCCCTTCCTCCCCTCAGGGAGAACTATCTTGAAAATTAATTCAAGCATTCTTCTGTTTAATTTCACAGTTGGAGAAAGGGCCTATGCAAACAAAAAAAAACATGTAAAAATGTTACAAATTCTTAGTTGTCATTGGTGGCTAAAAATGTGAGTCGCTACTTTAGTTAGAAATTTTCATTCAGTGAAGGTTACGTATCTTATTATTTGGGTGTTTTGTTTGTTTTTGGAGGGTCTTTTTTTTTAAGGCAGGGTCTTGCCAAGTTACCTGGGCTACCTTCAGACTGTCAGAAGCCTGTCTCAGCCTCTGAGTAACTGGGTGTGGAGGAGTATATGGGAGTCACCAGATTTGGTCACCAAGTCTCATCATAAATAAAAATGCTCAGCATTGGGACTTTGATGGAGAAAGCTCGATCTCTGAAAATTCAATAAGCTCTTTGGGGTCCGGCAATACCTCTGATTCCTTATAATAAAGTTTAGTCATCATTATCCGGGTTCACGCCTGTAACAGATACTAAATAAGCAAGGGGAATCTCAATTATCACTAACCTAATAATGTACCCTGGATTGTTTTTTCATTTTTAATTCTTCAGTATTACCTTGCATTCCTCATTTGTCTTTAGTCAAAATAGACTTCAGAAATGTTAGATTACATTGGTAGTTTTGGGTACTGGGATCCTGACTGACCGATGAAAGATCCAGGTTCTTGGAAAGGAAGATGAACTGGCATCAGAGAGGGTGGTAACCGTCGGAATGGCAGCAACTGGCCATGGGCTTCAAGGGCTTCCCTAAAACCCCCTGAACATCAGACTCCTCATCCGTTTAAGAAAAGGATGACAAAAGTAACCCCTTACAACTTTCACATCCAGTGGTTTTATGATACTTAGGGTGTAGAAAGACACCATTGTGAAAGTTTAAAAAAATGTAATTTAGTGAGGAGATGGACTAATCAGGGTCAGGATCTTGGATTTTAGTTATCAGTGCCACTAACCAACTGAGTGGCCAAGCCAAATTAAACCTTTTCTGAAACAGAAGGGGATACAAAGAAATTAAATTACAGTTTTAAAAGCTGAGTGATTGCATGCAAGCCACTTATTAAACTTTTTGGATCTCAATTTTCTCATCTAAAATAGGAAAGTGCTTGACTAAATAATCTCTGGAATCTTTTCGTTCTAAGCTTCAATGTTTCTGTGTCATGTTACAAAAATGTTTGGCCACTTCTCTTTTCTAGATTTTTGTGATATTAAAATGATAGTCAAACAACCATTTTCTGTACTGTTGCAAAAGTAGATTCATTGGCTGTATATATCTTTCAATCTGTTCCTCTGTGACTCTTCGAAATAATTAGTATTGTCCAGGTGCTCTTTGCCAGGAAAACCAAGTCTTATGGATGAGACGTTTCATTCATTTATTCATTTAACATGTATTCATTGAATCCTGCTGCTTCCTTAAATGATGACTAAATCTTTTGACTAAAATAGGTCCCATTTTAAAAAGCAAAACACGTACCTTCTTTGTGCTTCTTTAACTATAAAATCGTGACCACAGATACACGCCTCCATTATGGAAGGGCTTTGATGACTCATGACATGTGTGAGGTGCACTGAGGTCCTTGATGGAAAGTGATCCATCTGCTACAGAGTGTAATTAACATTATGAGTTTACCAAAAGGAACACAAGAGTCCTTGTTAAAGAGCATCATGGGGGCTGCCCCAGCCTTTAGTCATAAGACACCTCAGATGTAGAAGAAGGTAATAATTTATAATAGCTTCTAAAAGTAACCTGGTTATGAAAAGAATTAATTGCTTTAAAAGTCACATGGTCTTTTTATTAATTAGAGGAGTAGCCATGGTAATGCCTTTAACATGCTTTATTTTTGAACTGAAAAGACAAGCTCCATGCTCTAAAGGAAATGCTGGGTTCTATGACAACTAAAGAAGGTAAGATTCCGATGAATCAAGGAAGCCCAGTTGCTTTGGTAGAAAATGGAGAAATGCCTCCTCTCCCACTGTTTGTTTACGTGCTTCAGTTGTGCGACACACTACAGCTGTGTTGGAGGAAAAGCTATCCACTTTGGGGATCCAAACCTGGTCACTTGACAACGGTAAATGGAAGTTTTTCTTAATCCTGGGACCACTCTAGGAAGCAGGGATAGCTCTAGACCATGCTCACAGATCCAGAAAAGGACTGTCAAGTGGTTCCTTCCAAAGGGTTAAGACTAGCATCATCACACGCCTGCAAGTACTTTGTGAAGAGGCCTGAGGTTGGTGATGCTGAATAGTGGGTGAGGGGAGCATGTGGTCCTTTCCATCACTTGGAAACCAGGTATAAATGAACTCACAGATGAGCCACAGTTGACCATTTAGTGTCTCTCATCTCCAGTAAAAGAGGAAGGGAAAGAAAGGAATATTTCCATTAAAATAGATGAAGAAAAGAATAAGTTTTCTTAATAATTAACCAAGTTCATATTTATAAATAAATTGCTCAGAACCAGAGCTTAGAAGTAATAACAAGATGAAAGCAATAATAGAATGAGAATTAAATATACATGGCACGATAGATTTTAATAATGTTTCTGACATTACTGTATTTGCTATTATAATATGATTCAACTTTCTATAAAATTATTTTGTTGAGAGGATTGGGCGAGGAGGGAGGAATGAATAGGTAAGAGAATAAGAAACTTTTAGGGCAATAAAACTGTTCTGTATATTACTGCAATAGTGGATATTTGGTATAGTATACATTTGTCAAAACCTGTAGGACTGGACAACATAGAGTGAAAACTCATGTCCACTATGGACTTTAATTAATAATATATCAATATTGGTTCATTGATTCTAAAAATGTATTTCACTAAAGCAAGATGTTAAAGGGGGAAACTGTGAAACTTGTCAGGAGAGGAGGCACGAACTCTTCTTAATTTTTCTGGAAACCTAAAACTGCTCTTCACAATAAAGTCTATTTAAAGAATTAAATCACTTTTCCAAAAAAGAAGGGAAAGATTTCATGTTACTACAAGCACATTCAATTTAAACCAAAGAGAGCTGAGGGATCTATTTCAAAATACTCACGATATACCCATATTACAGAAACAAGATTTGCTAGGTGTGGTTGCGCACACCTCCAATCTCAGATTCTCAGGAGGCTGAGGCAGGAGGATCACCAGTTTGAGGCCAGCCTGGGCCACTGAACAAGACCCTGTCTCAAAATCAAGTAAAAACCCACGAGGATGTAGCTCAGTGGCAAGCATGAGGCCTACCTGAAAAAAAAAAAAAACCTTGTATTTTTACCAACATACATATAGTTATAGATAAATGGGAGAGGAATAGTTAAATGTACAATTGAATTCTGTGTTCTGGATTTTTTTGTACTTCCTATTCTGGGAATCTCATAAAGCAAGATTTAAAAGTCATGGGAAAGTAGAAGTAACGCATTGTTCTTTCAGGTAAGTCATCCAGAATCAAATGGTTATGATACAGTAATACTACTTCATATTTATGCAATGCCTTTATGTCCTGAGTCATCTCAAGAACTGGTTGTTCAATTAAGTTATAAAAGATAATGTCAGTTACAACAAACCACTGTGTGAAAATTTTTAGGTGCACCGGGGTTTAAAACTTTTAAACTCTACAACTGACTACATCTATATTTAAAGAAATACCTTCATGGTCCTTCTCTAGATGCGTTGGTGGTCTTGTGATGTTGTGGGGTGACATTGCAGTCTCATTTGGAGCACTCTGATGAGGCCAACCATGAAAAATAAAGAAATAGGCCAAATTTGTCCGCCAGAGATAACATTTCTCTTGTTCTCAAACAGATTTGGGATTTTTTTCCTTCTGCTCCCAAAACATGTACTACTCCTTGCCCAGCCTCGCTGATGACTTCAGGGACAAGGTCCTACCTGTATTGCCCTACACTGGTCAGCACCCTTCATCGGTCTTCCTGTGACTCCACCAGTATCAGCCACTCACCCATTTGTCATTTGCTCATTTTGCTCTTCTGCTCGTTCACGCCTTTGATCACATACATTCAATGAGTACATGTTCAGCACCTAGGAGAAACTACACACCAGGCTAGGCTCCGGGATATTACAAATTCTAAAAGGAGATATGGTCCCTGGACTCACAGAGTTTACCATCTACCTAGAAAGACAAACGCAAATCACACAAGTGAAGGCTGAATTAAAATATAAGAGTTACAAAGGAAATCATAAGGTTCTGTGAATGTGTACCATGGACGAAAATAACCTGACAGTGCCTGAGTGGGAGACGGACAAGAGAAGTTTAAGCCTCTGATGTTTGTTATTTGGTCTGCCTGTCCTCAACATGCTGAAACCCGCCAGTCTTCAGTCTTGTATCTCAGCTCGTGAGTACAAATCACTCCGTTCCTTTTAAAGGTGCAATTAGCTAACTGAGGAAATTCATTATAGTACTAATACACTATGCAAAGTACTCCTGATGACACCTTCAGGAGAACCTCTTCTCCGAACACCCCATCTTCCTGCCAAAGAAGGCATCAAGACCCTCTGGCATCTGTAGATCTCTAACTAGAGGAATATGAAGTCAGTTGTGATGAGAAAGACCATGAATGTGCGATTTAGACAGAGTATTCCTGCTGCAGTCAGCTGCCTCTGATTTCTTTACCAGCATCATAACTGAGTTATCCTCAGGCCAGTGTCACATGGGCAAGGAGGGCTGTGACTGGTACATGGCCAGTCTCACAATTTGCCCATAAATAGAAGAAAGCCCTGAGAACATCACAGTAACTCATCTTAGTAGTAGTGACCTCATCTTAGTAGTAGTGACCTTAGGCCACTGTTTTATTCATCTTCATAGAAGGTCCTCACAGTTATCTCTTGGCCTTGAGCTACCTGATGAGATAGTCTTTATTGAAGCCATAAAAGCCAGAGGGATTCTGCATGATATTGATCAGCCTGCAGTCAGGATCCTTCAGGCACAAGTGTGAGGCAGCAGCAGTTTAAACCGGAATCACCTCTGAATGTCTCCATCCTAAAGACCCCACAGCACAGGCAGGAGCTCACCAGGTGTTACCTGTCCAATGCCCAACAGCCTGCCTAATGATGTCCTACCAGTTGCAAATGTATCTTCCCCTTCTAATCAAAATTCTCCTATTCTCTATACTTTCTTTCAAAATCTATCCCTATAGTATGGTTAGTTTTATATCAACCAAGAAGTCAGACAACATCAATATAAATATATAGATTGATAAGAATCGTTATATTCTAATAACTTTTTCCTTTTCTCTTTTTTTACATTTCAATTTTTCTGGGCCTTGGGCCTTTTTTTTTTTTCCTAAAAGGATTGGCCTGCTCCAAGAGTATGGCTTCCACTCATGTATTTCCCTTCCAGGAATTATTTGTTTTTGTTTTTTGAGCCAGGGTCTCACTACATGGTTGAGACTGACCTGGAACCCACTACATAGCCCAGGCTGGTCTCAAACTCACAGCAATCCTCCTGCCTCAGCCTCCCCAGTGCTGGGATTACAGGTGTGCACCACCACGACCGGCTTCTGTTCCAGAAATCATGTTTGTAGGCTTGAAACTTTTCCCAACCGCTGGTGAGCTAGCAAGGCAATTCATGATTCTCTCTTTCTCTCTCTTACACTTCCTACCTTCATTTCTCTCCCTTTGTCTCTCTGTATCTCGTCTGTGCCTCTGTGTCACTGTCTCTCTGTCTGCCCCCCTCTCTCCTGCAACCTTCCCTTGTCACTACAACCCTGTTCTTCATCTGTAGTTCCTCAGTGCATCTTGTTTCCTCAAGCCTCAAAGATGTTCATATTTTGTCATCTCTTCTTGGAAGAAGATCTGTATCTATTTTGCCACTTTTTCTTTAATTTGGAAATATTTCAAGCACACAAATAACAGAAAATAATATCACAGACATTCGTTTCTTCACAGCTCAGACTTACCACATATTCACATTTTGCTGTTTTTCACAAATCCCTTTTAAACAAGACACGCATCAGAGAGACAATTGAATACCCTATCTTCCTTCTGTCTTCATTAGAAGACAATGTTTATATAAAATCTACTCATAGATATTATTTAGAATTTTTGTAGATTTTCAAGCTTTGTTCATGAAATATTATACTGATTTGATATTTGCTTTTTTGGTCAATGCAATATTTTCTGGTACCCACAACAGCAACAGAACTTTGCTGTTTTCTGGATATTATTCTTTTCTTTGGGTTTTTTTTGGGTTTTTTTTTTTTTAATGGAATGTGCTGAATGTCTATAATTTTGTTCAGAAGACTGCAGAACCTGGAAAAGCTGTTGCTGCTATCGATGCATAACATACTGCTATTATTAGTCTTTTTATATAAAT